AAAGAAGATATGCATACAGCCAACAGACACATGAAAAAATGCTCATCATCACTGGCCATCAGAGAAATGCAAATCAAAACCACAATGAGATACCATCTCACACCAGTTCGAATGGCGATCATTAAAAAGTCAGGAAACAACAGGTGCTGGAGAGGATGTGGAGAAATAGGAACACTTTTACACTGTTGGTGGGATTGTAAACTAGTTCAACCATTATGGAAAACAGTATGGCGATTCCTCAAGGATCTAGAACTAGAAGTACCATATGACCCAGCCATCCCATTACTGGGTATATACCCAAAGGATTATAAATCATGCTGCTATAAAGCCACATGTACACGTATGTTCATTGTGGCACTATTCACAATAGCAAAGACTTGGTATCAACCCAAATGTCCATCAGTGACAGACTGGATTAAGAAAATGTGGCACATATACACCATGGAATACTATGCAGCCATAAAAAAGGATGAGTTTATGTCCTTTGTAGGGACATGGATGCAGCTGGAAACCATCATTCTCAGCAAACCATGGCAAGAACAGAAAACCAAACACTGCATGTTCTCACTCATAGGTGGGAACTGAACAATGAGAACACTTGGACTCGGGAAGGGGAACGTCACACACCGGGGCCTATTATGGGGAGGGGGAAGGGGGGAGAGATTGCATTGGGAGTTATACCTGATGTAAATGACGAGTTGATGGGTGCTGACGAGTTGATGGGTGCAGCACACCAACATGGCACAAGTATACATATGTAACAAACCTGCACGTTATGCACATGTACCCTAGAACTTAAAGTATAATTAAAAAAAAAAAAAGTGACTGAGGCTGGGTGCGGTGGCTCACACCTGTCATCCCAGTACTTTGGGAGGCCGAGGCAGCTGGACCACGAGGTCAGGAGATCGAGACCATCCTGTCTAACACGGTGAAACCCCGTCTCTACTAAAAATACAAAAAATTAGCCAGGTGTGATGGCAGGTGCCTATAGTCCCAGCTTCTCGGGAGGCTGAGGCAGGAGAATGGCGTAAGTAAACCCAGGAGGCGGAGTTTGCAGTGAGCCTAGATCACGCCACTGCACTCCAGCCTGGGTAACAAAGAGAGACTCTGTCTCAAAAAAAAAGTGACTGAAAGCAGGGCCTTTGGGGGAGTCGGTGGGGGACTACAGAAGGGATAGCATTAGGAGAAATACCTAATGTAGATGACGGGTTGATGGGTGCAGCAAACCGCCATGGCATGTGTATACCTATGGAACAAAACTGCCCATTCTGCACATGTATCCTCAGAACTTAAGGTATAATAATAAAAAAAGGTGTAATAATAAGAAAGATTGAATTTGGAAAGTCCAGCTATATGTTGGTTATGAAAAGCACACCTAAGGAACATTGAGAGATTGAAAATAAAAGAATGGATAAAATACATGGCTGGCAAAGACTAACCAAAAGAATGCCAGTGTGGGTGTATTAATATCAGAGGATGGCCTTTAAAGGAAAAGTCTTTCTTAGGGATAAGAAAGTAAAAGCCTTTATTACCATTGGTAATAAAGAAGCGACTCACAGGAACGATTCTGAACTTGTTTATGCACCTGCTCACATAAGGCTGAACTGTAACAATTAAAAGAGGAACTTGACAAATCCACTAGGATAGTGGGAGGTTTCCACACACTTCTCCTAATCACAGAGGAAAAACTAGTAAGACTACTGAGGATTTAACCAGTCAACAAGGCTGATCTAATGATCCCTTAACACTGCACCGACCCATTAGAGAATTCACCATCCTTTCCAACAGCCATGGCTCATCTCCAGCATAGGACCGTGTACTTCAAAAAATCAGTATCACACAGACGACTGTTTGATGACAGTGTCATTACATAGAAATCAGAAACAAAAAGATAACTAACATACTTCTAAGCCACAGGCCAAAGAGGAAATTATAATGAGGTTATTTAAAAAATTAGAATTGTCAAGATAATGGACATACCACCGATTAAACCTAGTGGTTTTTAGAAGGGACACTGTGTCCTCACATACTAATATTCTCTAAAAAGTGAATGAGCCATAAGGAAGTGTGCAGATTAAATGTAAGCCATGTTACTGAGGAGTTTGCAGAGGGCAGAGGAGAGCCCAGGAGAGGCTAGCTCCACTGGAGGTGTCGGCCAATGTCGGGGTAGCGGGCAGAGAAGCGGTGAGGTCAGAAGGAGGAGGTGGGATGTGGGGCCTGCCCGTCAACACCATCCTCCCCTCCTGGTGGGCTGGTAGTCAGCAGTTTACCCCGCTGTGGAACACTCACTGCAGCTGTTTCTTACGGGAGACAGGCTCAACATCTTGCCCTAAAGCCTCATCTAGTTATAGAATAAGACAGTCAGGAAGTGCCAGGCCTGTGGCCAAATGGAGCCTGCCTGCTTCAGACTTTCAAATGTAACCCACTCCCACCCCTGTAAAAACCCTGAGCCTCCACAGAAAGAATACTTGTTTGCTCCAGATTCCAGCCCCAGGCCATTCCCAGGACATAAACCTGGACTTACATCACTTTATGCTGAGAAATTATGTGGGGATCACTCCTGAATCAACTCAGGAAGAAAGTCTGTCTTTATAAGATTAGAATCTAATACTCAGTCAAATCAAATGTGGTTTTTAATGTACTCATTGAATTTCAGTATCTGTACACTTCAATCAATCAAACCTGCTCTTCCAATGCAGCTGTTCAGACTGCACCAGCTCTGTCACCTGGAAGAGTTACCTTAGATTTTTTTTCCCCCAAAGGCTTTTGTTTTCATTGAGACTGAGGGAGGCCTCTTGCCAAAATACCTGGAACTCAGACAAAGGCTGAACCCTCCACCCAGCGCAAGACACCAGCCCCTGCCTCACAGGTAGTGTCCTGGGCAGTGATGCTGGGCAAGGAGGGCAGAAACGAGCCGACTGGCATTCTAGTCGCCAGGGTCCTGATCGTTAGTCACTTGGGACTTGGGACCTGGGATTCTCTGTGTCTGCGCATGTAAGCAGTGATGCCTACATGAGTCTGGAAGGTGACACCAAGCTATGTCGATGCTGAGGATGGCTCCAGTGTCCCTTAGATGAGTTCTTGGTTTCTTAGCCAGTTTGGTGAGATGAAGGGCCGCGGGTGCCCTGCAGGCCAGGCGTCACTGAGCTGAGCACCCTGCCCAGCCTTAGCAACCTTCTCAGTTCAATGGTTAATGACAGCACCCACTTGCAGTTGCACAGTTCTCTGTGCTTGTCCGGGCATGCTCTGGTCCTCTCCTTGCCGTGGGAGGTAGGCATGCTGAAAGCGTCTGGCCTTGCCATACAGTCGGGGCGCCTGGCCCCACGGAGGCAGCGGCCGGAGACAGTTCCTGCAACAGACCCCTGGTTCCTTCACTTCTCTCCTCTGGGACATCCTGTAACCACCACACAGCCCTCCTTCCCAAATGGTTTGATTTTTAATGTTTCCTTTTCTATTCCAAACGCCTTCTGCTTTGCAACTTACTTGGAACTGCAGGATCATGTTATTCCTCATGTCCTACCCTGCCCCTTAAAAGCCTCACTTTGGGTGTGTGTGTGTTTTCCTTCTCTCAGTTAAGAATTAAAAGCCATTTTACTTTGAGAACGCTCTTATGACAAGTCCTGGGAAACCATGCCTGGGAGGGGCCGGTGGGGCGAATGGCTTCTGTACAAAGCTTATGTCAAGTAGCCTTCGTAAGAAATGGGGCTGAGTGCTTGGCCAGCTCTGGGCCTGGGGGAGCTTTGGGGAGTTTGTGCATCGATTGGTGTGCACAGCAGTTGGTCAGAGTTCAAGTCATTGTATGCACTGAGACATGCTACAGCCATGATGCCTAAGGGAAGGAAGCCACACCCAAAAGAACATGCAATAGTCCCCCCTCATCCAAGGTTTCAGTTACCTGAGGTCAACTGTAGTCCGAAAATAGGTGAGTACAGTGCAATAAGATATTTTGAGAGAGAAAGACCACTTCACATAACTTTTGTTACAGTCTATTGTTAGAATTGTTCTATTTTGTTAATTTTTTACTGTGCCTAATTTGTAGCTTATACTTTGTCATAGGTATGCATGTAGAGGAAGAAACAATACAGATAGGGTTCGGTACTGGGGGGAGTGGTTCAGGCATCCGCTGGGGGTCTTGGAACATATCCCCTGTGGATAAGGGTGGCTACTGTGTAATTTGTTTTTCTGAAACTCCAGAAAAGACAAAGCAAGACTGTGTGGCAGAAAGCAGGTCATTGTGAGGAGGTGGAGGGAAGCAGGGATTGACTGGGGAGGGCAGGGGCTTTTTGGGGAAATGGCAACAGTCTAGATTTTTATCATGATGGTAGTTACAGGAATGTACACAGTTTTCAAATCTCATAGATCTGTGCGTTCTAAATGGATGCTTGAAAATGTATATCTCAATAAGTAGTTTAAGAAATGTGTAACGAGAGAGGGAAATACTTGCAGTTCTCTATTTTTCTTCTTGTCTTCAAAGCTTTATAACATCCCAAAATGTGTTTGCAACTTCAATCATTCTCGTTTTTGTTGTTGCCATTCTTTTTGGGTTTTTTTGCTCTAACAAACCAAACTCAGAAAACACTTCTTCAATGCAAGGGCATCGACTTTAAACCAGTTGGTTACAGAAGAACGAACAATGCAAACATATTAATTTGTTTCTTCTTGCTGAAAATGTTAGGCAGAGGTATGCTTTTCGCCATGACTTATGCAACGTATTTATACCTACATAAACCCACATGTGCGTTGGTCCTGTTCTGATTTTTAATGGGGTTGTTTTAAGAATGTGCTGCCTTTTCTCCCTGCTGATTGGGTTTGGCCTCATCACTTGTTTTCCGTGTTGATACAAGGCAACCCTTCATACTTACCTCCTTTCCTAGGGGCACCTGGGGAACTGATGAGCCGTTTCTGAGCCTTCCTCCTTCTGGCCAAGGCAGGCACGGTGTAAACATGTGCACAGATGTCCTCAGGCCTTGTCTCTGACTCCTCTCTTCTTGCCCTCCCAGACTCCAGAGCCAGATGCACACCTGCCAGGTGAAGGTGAGATTGAAGATAACCAGCTCCCCACATCCCCTGTGGAACAAGTGGAGCAGGGATGGAGCCGGCAGACAGACCGCGATGATTCTGAAACACTGTCCCAGCAGAGTGAAACTGGATCAGACACAAAAACTGACCCCTTTGAAAGTGCCTCCGACACAGAGTCCTTGTCTGGGGACCTCCCGAGGGGAGTCTTCCACCCTCTGAGAGGTACCCCTGTAGACACAGAAGTGCCTTGGGAATACCCTGATGTCTCAGCAACTGGACCCCCTCAAGAGCAGCATTTGACCAGTGTTCCTGGGCTTCATGCAAAGGAAGAACTCGGTTTGTCCCCTGGCTTAAAGGACGACTCTTGCAAAAATGGGTGGCGAGCCTTTGCCACCGTTGCTGGAGAACAGGAGGCAGGACACCTCTGGGACTGCGCGACGAGCCTGGAGCGAGAGGCTTTGCTGGCAGGGGCTCCCCGACACACAGGGTGCTGCTTACAGAGGGCCACAGACAGCAGCGGTCCGGAGCCAGAACGGGGGGTGGCTATTCAAGACCTCAGAGGGCTCTCCGCTGTCTCTCTTCAGAAATCCAGGTCTGAGGGCTATCTGGGCATCCCAGTGGTCTGGCCCTTCCTTCTCTGGTGCTGTGAACTGGGTCGGAGTTGGCCACATATCCACAACAGGGCCAGGGCACTTGTGCCACTTAGCAGAGACCCAGTGGACAGCACAGCCCCTCTGGGGACCAGGACAAAAAGGGAAAGTACTCTAAGCCTTGCAGGGGACACAGAACTGCTCTGGTCCCAGCCCCACTTGGATGTTCCCTGCCAGCCTCCTTTGAGAACATCTTGCCTTCTACACACCAAGCGTCATCATAGTGCCCCAGAAACTATTGGTGACAAGAATAGGGCATCCCCCATACACGACTGTGGGCACTTGAGGGCACCGGTCAGGGCCCATTCCATAGCAGGGTTTTCCTCAGAGTGCCCCGAGGATCCCATGGGACCGAATGTTGTGAAGTCTGGCACCCCTGTGAAGGAAGGGGAAGAAAATGAACGAGATCCAAGAACACAAAACGCCCTTTCCCCTACACCCACCCCGCTGGCTGGCCCGCTTCCTGCTTTTCAAAGTGGGGCTCCGCATCTGCAGGGTCCCTGCAAGCCCGATGGGTTTCGCTTGCAAAGGGCCTTTCAGGACACTCCTTCTGCAGATCTCCTGGGGGAAAACCAGTTAAGACAGGAATCCAGGTCATGTCTGGTGGCTTCATGCCTCACGTCAGAGTTAGTGAAGCTCAGTGCGGAGGAAGTGCCTGAGCCTGCTGAGTACAAGTCGGAGCAAAGCCCAGAAAGCAGAACCCAGGAACCCCAAGGCACCCAACTCGCACCAAGAGCTGCTGCTGAGAGACAGACACAGAAGCACCTCTGGGGCATTTCTGTCGAGGCAGGAAACCAAACCAGTAATTTCACATCAAAGTATGTGCTCGGCGTGGAAAGCAAGCCACCTACCAGGGCCAAGTTCCCACGGCAGCCTAGCAGTCAGGGGACCCAGGTGTGGAGTGGAGACTCAATGGGCTGCTTGGAAGTGAGTGACAGTTCAGATGCCCCTGAGACCACCCAGAAGTCAAGCGCAATAGACACTTCAAAGGCAGCCGAAGAGGCCATGTTTCTAGACCCCAATTTCAGGGAACAGGCTTTGCAAGGTCTTTCAGAATTCAAGGCAGCCACGGTGTCTCACTGCGGCCCTGGGGCTGAGGAGGGTGAACAGGGGCCTGGGGGTGCCGTGGGCCGGCAGCTGGAGCCCAAAGCAGGCGGTGAGGCCTCCAGGGGCAGGGGCGCCCTCATCATTGTGGCTGTGGAGCAGAAAGGTCTTCAGGCCGCCAGGAGCAATGCGAGGCCTGTTCCAGAAGCACTGCCCCCTCGCTTTCCTGAGGAAAGACCGGAATCTCCCCCGAGCACTGGCGAGACCGCCTGTGAGTCTCCCGCTACGGGGAAAACACCAGCCGGTAAAGAGTGTGAGCTGCTTCAGCCCGTGGCCCAGGCCGCAGAGCTCGGGAGCGTGCTGGTTCCCCGAGCTGCTTTGGTGGAGAAGCCGAGCACAGCGGCGCCCCCGGGAGAGACACTGCGTGGGGAGAGCCAGAGCCCCGGGCCCGGGGAGCGTGGCGCCGGGGAGGCCCCGGAGGGCGGCGCTGCAGCAGCCCCGGGCCAGCGCCCGCGTATCCCTGCCTTGGAGCCGCCCCAGCCGCCACGCGGGCTTCGCAAGGCCGTGCAGGAACCTGGGAAGCGCCCCACGTTTTCCAAGGTGACCTCCTTCAGGAAGGGCAGGCCCTTGGCCGCTGAGAGCCCAGGAGGGGACCCGGCCCCGACCACCGAGGGCCGCGGCGGGGGTCTTTCAGGCCCCGAGGGGCTCCCCCCGGAGAATCTGCCCCGGGCGGCCCGCTGGGACCCGCCGCCTCTGCACCACGGGGACGCCAGCGCCTGGCCCGAGTTTGCCCCGCAGGCTGCAGGCGACGGGACCGCAGGGCCGGCAGGGACTGGGCACATGGGGACCGCAGGGGACCTTGGTAGGCGAGGGCCTTCCTCTGAGAGCTGTAACGCAAAGAGACTCAAAACAACGGAGAAAAAGCTCAGGGCAAGGTTAGCCTTGGCTCATAAGACCTTTTCAAGCTTTTTTGAGTCAATCGTTGTAGAGAAAGAGAACACCCAGGAACGTTCCCCAGGTTCTCCCAAGGGCGAGAAGGAGAAGAGCAGGCTGCGCCAGGGTTCCTGGCGGGCCTTTCTGAAAAGCAAAGACACCGAAAGCCCCAAAAAGCCCGCCCTAGTGAGACCGCTGCTAGGACCCGGAATTCTTTCCCCGGCAGAGACCGACAGCCACTGTGAGGAACGGGCGGGGGACAAAGAGGGCTATGTTTTTAGCGATCACTGGGCACCCCCACTTGCCCCCACACCTTTGCCCCCCAGTTTAGTTTCTCCAGAACGCAGGAGGAAAAGTGAACCGACCATCAAGTGCACAGCCGCCCGGGAAGGCGGTAGGTACCTACCTTCAGGTATCTTTCCTGAAAAGTCCTGGCTGGTGTCCCCCGGCAGCCCTCGGGCCCAGCAGGCTGGCATCGCGCACACCCTGCCTTCCAGCTCTGCCAGCTACCTGGCATATGAAAACCCCGGGACGCCCTGCAGACCCACGAGCCCCAAACCCCTGAGTCCCAGGCCTAATGCTCAGCGGACGGGTCCCCACTACCCCGGGAGGGGTAGCGCCGTCTCCATGGTTTCTCTTGGAAGCTACAGCTACGTGGACAGCAGTTCAGGGGACCCTGAAAGACCCAAGATTCCCAAGGGCCGGACCAGTCTCCTGCTTTCTCTGCAGACGCTAAACCAGGATGAGCAGAAGGAAGAGGGCAGGGAAGGAGGCCCGGGTCCACGCGGCTTGGGCACAGCGCCCTGGCTCAGGGACCTTCCTGGGAATGAGGTGAGTATCTGAATCGCACCAAGCCTTTCCTGAGCTCCTCAGGCAAGAGGAGGAGGGGAGCAGGCGGGAATCGTCCTAAGTGAGGGGAGATTCAAGTAGGAAGGCCAGGCCAAAATTGTCCCCATTACACTCCCAGTCCCCCCAACAGCCCCCTCCCCTAGTGAACACAGCGTGTGACCAGCTTCTTGAACGTTACCAAGCTAACAAGCCGGAATTGGCATTTCATCATTTCATTTTGTGTTTTTCTTTAATTTCAAGCCATTTGAATTTTCTTTTGTATGAACTGCCGGCTCCCTAGGCACTGCCCATTTTCTTTTCTTTTCTTTTCTTTTCTTTCTTTTTTTTTTGAGACAGAGTCCCGCCCTGTCGCCAAGGCTGGAGTGCAGTCGCTCCATCTCGGCTCACTGTAACCTCTGCCTCCCGGGTTCAAGCAATTCTCTGCCTCAGCCTCAGGAGTAGCTTGGACTACAGGCGCCCGCCACCACGCCCGGCTAATTTTTGTATTTTTAGTAGAGACAGGGTTTCACCATCTTGGCCAGGCTGGTTTTGATCTCCTGACCTCGTGATCCACCCGCCTCATCCGGCACTGACCATTTTCTACTGAATGGTCTGTGTAGGCTTTTGTGTTAAACCTAGTCCTTCTCCACTGTGGCATTTAAAAAAAATTCCCCATGTTGTCTTCTAGTACTTTAATGGCTTGTATTTTATCGTATTTAGAATTTGATCCAGCTGAACTTATTTCGCATAAAGAGACAGGAATTGTTGGTGCTTCTGAAATGTTTAGTGCAGTAAGATGGTCTCTTCCCCAAAGTGACCCCTTCTGTCCAGGATAGGTTAGCAGGGTCAGGCAGAGGAAGGAGCAGACAAGGGTGGGATTTCTCATCCCAGCTGCCCTTGGAATGAGGGAGCTTTTCTGGAAATTCCAGAAAGACAGTGCCCTGGAGACTGCGAAAAGTAAAAAGTAAGGCTCCCTTCGCTTCTTTAGACCAAGAGATGTCACGTCTCCTGCGCGGCCAGAGCCGGGGAGCACAAGCGACAGCCGCCCCACGCGGTGGCACGGTGGCCTCTGGGGCGCTCCCCTCTGCCTGCAGGCAGATGTCAGCCACTCATGGGCTGCACGGATGGGAAGCTGACATATGAGGTGCTGGTAGAGCGCCTCCAGGCCAGGCTAAGAGGGGCGGAGCTGGGTGAGAAGGGGTTTCCCAGCAGAGCATCCGACAAAGCTGAGTGGACAGCATACATTCAAATAGGATCACTACCAGCAGGAAACGGCTTCACCTCCTCAGCCTGTTTCTGCATCTGTAGGCTGTTAAACATGAAAGGACTTTTTTGTTTTTTTGTTTTTTTTTTTGGGGGGTCCTTTTTTCGTTACTGTTACTACTAAAGTTTAAAAACAACGCCAAACAATACAGATGTAGAAAGGAAAAGGCCTCTCCCCAAAACCCGCTAATCCCACTCCATGCAAGGAAACACTGCTGTATACTAAGGTGTCTCATCTTTCATCGTGTTCTCACACAGGGTTTATGGGGCAGTTTGGGGAGGGGAGTTACACCGCGTGGTCACACATACACATTGCTCTGCGCCTTGCATGCTTGCTTAATACGGCAGGTACAGCCCTCCGGCGCCTCATGTTCGTGGCTGTGTTTGGAAGTTGCATAATAGTTCAGGGTAGGACCATGCTGTATTTCCTTTAACGGTTCTTCTACTGATTGGCGCTGAGGTAATCTGTAGTTTGGGATCTTTATAAATAATGCTGCGGCAGCACCCTTGAGCACGTGTCCTTAGATATGGATGCTTTTATTTCTGTCGGATATAAAAGTGGGATTGCACAAAGGGTAGGGGTATTTTAATAGCTTCCAGATTACTTCTGAAATGACTGGCGATCGACGCTCAACAGCAGTATCTGAGTGCCCATTTTCTCACACCCCTGCAACCTCGTTGCTTATTGCCCTTTTATATTTTCTATCACCTGAAAATACATAGAGAACTTGATTTAAAAGTAAAAAGACATTTTAGTGTTAGGCAACTCAGAGTTAAATCAAGTAGTCAAAAGAAGATTTTACAGTATTTGAATTAACAAGCCTGATTTAATGGTGATATAAGCCAGGCGTGGTGGCTCACGCCTGTAATCTCAGCACTTTGGGAGGCCGAAGTAAGCAGATCACCTGAGGTCAGGAGTTCGAGACCAGCCTGGCCAACATGGTGAAACCCCGTCTCTACTAAAAATACAAAAATTAGCTGTGCCTGGTGGTGGGTGCCTGTAATCCCAGCTATTTGGGAGGCTAAGGCAGGAGAATCACTTGAATCCGGGAGGCAAAGGTTGCAGTGAGCCGTGCCACTGCACTCCAGCCTGGGCAACAAAGCAAGACTCCGTCTCAAAAAAAAAAAAAAAAAAAAAAAGTGATATATACATATATGTCCGTGTGTGTCTATGTATACACACTGTATACACACACATGCACACACATACATGGTGCAGAAGCACATACTGGAAGGCAGATATTCCTGGAAGTGGTCCCTGTGCTCACTTGACATTGTGCATGGGATGGAGCAGGTGCATTGGGCCTCAGGCACACACCTGGACAGCCTGCTTGGTTTGTTGGGGTTTTTTTGTGTGTGTGTGCCTTTCTGTTTGTTTTTTGTTTATTTGGTTTGATTCAGGGTCTTGCTGTGTCTCCCAGGCTGGAATGTGGTGACAAGATCACAGCTCGCTCAGTCTGGATCTCCCAGGCTCAAGCAATCTTCCTGCCTCAGCCTCCCAAGTTGCTGAGCCCCCAGACATGCGCCACCACACCCAGATAATTTTTTAATTTTTTGTAGTGATGGAGTCTCACCTTGTTGCCCTGGTTGCGTTTTAACAAACAGTGATTGAGATGATAAGTAGAAAGTATCCAGTAAAGGGCCAGGTGTGAAGCGGGTGTCCGATAAATTGAGCTCCTATTCCTCTTTCCGTTTCACTCCTTACTGGAGAAGAGGAAGGCCTAGTACACTGCGCATCAGACCACAGACAGAACAGCAGGTACATAGGGAACGAGAAGGCAAGCAAAGCTGGGAAAGGCTCCCTCTGTCTGGTAGAACCCTGGATGGTGGTGGAATATGAAACTCCCCGTGTAGAAATGACTGCGCCATCTTGTGGGCATTCCTGGGAGAGCAGGATCTGATGATCAGAGTAATTTGCAAGAAATTCAGTCAGTTATTCCCACTTCTTCCCTGCACAACGGTATTAAGGAGCAGCAGGTCTCTTATCCCAATCTTTTAAAACAACCATTCTTAATATTTTGTTGTTTACTTCTAGATTTCTTCCACAAACAAGTTTTATATATTTAACATAGCTGTGATATTATCGTGTATAGAGATCTTAATTTTCTGTGATTTTACATCCTGCAGTTTCTTTAAAGCTTTTCAAGGTCGAGAAATAGAGACGTCTTACAGAACAGCATAATGCATAAACGTGTAGATATATATTGTCAACACACACCGGATGACCTCCACCAGGTCATGAAACACCACATCCCCGCCCCCCCCCTGCCCGCTTCCTGCCACCTCCCTTCGCTACCCACTGTGCCCCATCTCAGGGTGTTCACTTGCATTTCATTATCGTGTTACTACTTTATTACCATGGGTGTGGGGGCTTGCCCGTTTCGAGGTTTATATAATCAAAACCTTACACATTCCTTTAAACCTTACTCAGTCTATTTGGTGTCTGCCTTCCCCTGCTCTAATTAAGAATCATCCTGTGCACTGGGTGCGGTGGCTCACGCCTGTCATCCCAGCACTTTGGGAGGCCAAGGCCAGTGGATCACGAGATCAGGAGATCGAGACCATCCTGGCTAACACGGTGAAATCCCATCTCTACTGAAAATACAAAAAATTAGCCGGGCATGGTGGCAGGCGCCTGTAGTCCCAGCTGAGGCAGGAGAATGGCGTGAACCCAGGAGGCGGAGCTTGCAGTGAGCCGAGATTGCGCCGCTGTACTCCAGCTTAGGCGACAGAGCCAGACTCCGTCTCAAAAAACAAAAAACAGGAAAAAATCCTCCTGTGCTACGAACCTACAGCTCTCTCATCATGATGCTGAGTTGCTCTGAATCATTGGAACACAGTCTTTCTCAGTCAGCTGCTGATGGACTTGGGGGTTGTGCCCAGTTTCGGGCTGCTGTGAAGATTTGGGTCGGGGGCCTGCTGCACGTGCCTGTGTATTTCTGTGGGGTGCATTTTAGGGGTGTCCTTGGGGGAGGCATATCTTTAGTCTTACTAAATACTCAAATTATTTTTCCAAAGTGATTGCATCAGATTATACTCTCTCATTAGGAGTGTCCTTTGCTCTGTTTTCATTCACATTTGGTTGATACTGTCAGCCTTTTTAATTGCAGCCATTCTGCTAGGTGTGTAGCAGAATCTCACTGTGATTTTTAGTTTTCATTTTCCTGATGTCTGAAGAGGCTAGGGAACTTTAGTTTTTGTTTTTGTTTTTGGAGACCGAGTCCCCCTCTGTCACCCAGGCTGGAGTGCAGTGCTGTGATCTCAGCTCACTGTAACCTCTGCCTCCCGGGTTCAAGCGATTCTCCTGCCTCAGGCTCCCGAGTAGCTGGGACTATAGGCACCCGCCACCATGCTCAGCTAATTTTTGTATTTTTAGTAGAGATGGGGTTTCATCATGTTGGGTAGGCTGGCCTCGAACTCCTGAGGTCGAGTGATCCACCCGCCTCGGCCTCCTTAGGCCACTGCACCTGGCCTAAGGAACTTTTTATGTGCTCTTTGACACTCTGGATACCCTTGTCAAACTAAAATAATCAAAAAGTTTGGAATCTAGTTTAAAAAGAGTTTATTCAGGCCAGGCACAGTGGCTCAAGCCTGTAATCCCAGCATTTTGGGAGGCCGAGGCAGGGGGATCACCTGAGGTCAGGAGTTTGAGACCAGGCTGACCAACATGGAGAAACCCTGTCTCTACTAAAAATACAAAAGTCAGCCGGGCATGGCCTGTAATCCCAGCTACTTGGGAGGCTGAGGCAGGAGAATCGCTTGGACCAGGGAAGTGGAGGTTGTGGGGGAGCCGAGATTGTGCCATTGCACTCCAGCCTGGGCAACAAGAGTGAAACTCTGTCTCAAAAAAAAAAAAAGAGTTTATTCAGCACAGAAGTTGAGGACTGCAGCCCGGGACACACTTCCAAGTTGCCTTGGAGAGTGCTCCAGAGCACAAAAGAGAAGCTCAAATTTTTTAAAGAAAAGAAGGAGGAATCAGGAGAGGAAGTAAGTACAAAGGTTGTTTATTAGGAATTCTCACTGGTTTATGGAAGTAACCCTGGTTGGTGACTGGCTATACCTTGTTGAACTATAAGGTATGTGGCATTTTATGGCTACTTGGAGTGAGTTAGTCTAGAGTCCACATAGCAAGTGGCCCTAAGAGGTAGCTATTTAGCTGAAGGGGGAGTGAGATATTATGTCTTAAATGCCTTTTGGGTTTGGGCCTGATAATTTAAAGGGCTCACATTCCTCAGATAATTTTTTTTCTTACTCTCTTGTGGGACATGTCTCTCCTAGTCTGTCGTCCATTTGTTTTGGGGTTGTCTTTCTCTTACTGATTCTGGATAGAATTGCATTGTTGATTAATATGCCACAAATATTTCCCATTTCATGTGGCTTGTCTTTTCCCTCTTTAATGGTATCTTTATTTATTTATTTATTTATTTATTTTGAGATGGAGTCTTGCCCTGTTGCCCAGGCTGGAGTGCAGTGGCGCGATCTTGGCTCACTGCAACTTCCACTTCCCGGGTTCAAGCAATTCTCCCACCTCAGCCTCCCAAGTAGCTGGGACTACAGGCACAAGCCACCACGCCCAGCTAATTTTTGTATTTTTAGTAGAGACGGGTTTTGCCATATTGGCCAGGGTGGTCTCAAACTTGTGAGCTCAAGTGATCCACCTACCTCAGCCTCCCAAAATGTTGGGATTACAGGTGTGAGCCATCGCGCCTGGCCATAATGATATCTTTTGATGAACAGAAATTCTCAATTTTAATGTTGTCAAGTGTATCCATCTTTTCTCTACCCCAAGGTCATGAAGAGCATCCTTTAAATTACCTTCTTAAAAACTTTCATGGTCTTGCTTATGACACGTAGGTCTCTGAGATGCCTATAACTGGCATTTGGGTTCCATTCGTCTGTTTGTCCATCCTTCTACTGACGCAGTATTCTAATCACTGTAGCTGTACAGTAAGCATTGCTGACCAGTCTACCAGTTCCTCTCACGTGGTCATCAAGTCGATAAACTGAGCTCACTGAGTGCCACTTGTGGGCAGGCAATGCTCTGGATGCAGCAGACACTGTACTGAATAATACAGCAGGATGTCCGTCCTCACAAGAGGACAGCATGCGGCAGTCAATAAATTAGTGAGCAAGTAAGATCATTTCAGATAAAAGGAAATGGGAAAGAGAGTTGAAAGGTTTGATGGAGGGGCACCCTTGGCTTGGAGATTTTGGGTCTGACATTTGAACCAAGTCTCGAGTGATGAGGAAGCCGTAGAGCCCTGTAAGGTCCAGCCTCATATGTTAGTAACATGGAGGAATCCCCTCGGTGTTGCCATCCCCATTGGTGCCTGACGCTTTAGCTGCAGTCTTGATAGGATTGTTTTCCTCATCTGTAGATGCTGTAGAATTTAACCCTCCACAGTGTCACCTCCCACCTGTGAGACCATGGCATATTTCTTTTTTTTTTTTTTTGAGACCGAGTCTCACACTGTCGTGGGCAGTGGTGTGATCTTGGCTCACTGCAACTCCTGCCTCCCGGTTTCAAGTGATTCTCCTGCCTCAGCCTCCCAAGTAGCTGGGATTACAGGCACCCGCCACCACACCCAGCTAATTTTTTGTAATTTTAGTAGAGATGAGGTTTCACTATGTTGGCCAGGCTGGTCTCGAACTCCTGACCTTGTGATCCGCTCCGACCGTGGGGTATTTCTGCGTGTGTGTGTGATGCAGACCAGCATGAGGCAGTCCTCTGGAGCTGTTTGCATTTAGAGATTTCTTTCCTCTGGGATTTCAGGTTTGGGGGCAGAGAACCTTTGATTCCAGAGGAAGCAGGCTCCAGCATCTGCTGAAGGCATGCATACAGGATCATGCCCCTGGCTGAAGGGGCTTAGGAAGGACACCAAGACTAAGAGAGAGCAGGACAGAAATAGTTGTGGCTGGGCAAGAGGAATGAGAGGAGACTGGAAATTCAGAACTCCTGTGGGTGTCTTAATACCCACTCTGACCTGACTGTGAGCCTTGGAGTAAGACCATATTGGGACCCAGTTTCCTTGTCTGTCAAGGATTGGACCAGGTGATTTCCTAGGTCTCTGCTGGGTGTAATATCCTCTTTATGGAATGAATGCTGGATAGCTTTCCTGTCCACCAGCCACAGCCTTTCTAACTTTGGTGGCAAGATTCCAACATACTGTTTCTGCTTAGGAGTTCTAAGTGTGTGTGTGTGTGTGTGTGTGTGTGAGAGAGAGAGAGAGAGAGACAGAGAGAGAGAGTGAATATTTTCTAGCCTTTAAAATCTGTTTATAATCTGAAATTTATATGGAGAGATACATGCCCTAAAATAGTTAAAACAACTTTGAGAAAGATAAATCAAGTGAGGGGAATCAATATTTGATATTAATTCATACTTATTACCTGAAGTAATCAAGACTATGTAGTATTGGGGGAGGGAAAATTACATAGAGTAATGGAAAAGAATAGAGAACACAGAAATAGACCCACACAAATATACCCGCCAATTTTAAGGTGCAAAAGCAATTCAATGGATAGTCTTTTCGACAAACAATGCTGGAGCATTTGGACATCCAAAGCAAAAAAAAGGAAAATTTTAACCTAAATCTCACAGTTTATTTAAAAATTAATGCAAGAACTTCCTTTAGCCATTCTTTAAGGGTAGCTCTGTAGGCAATAAATTCTCTCATTCTTCCTTTCTTTGAGAAGGTCTCAATTTTCTCTTCATTACTGAAGAATATGTTCACTGGATAAAAGATTCTAAGTTAATAGTTATTTTCTTGAAAAGTGACACTTGAAAAGTTTTATGTCACTTCTTTCTGGCCTTCAGGTGTCTGATGCCTTTTAAAGTGTTTTTCTCTTATAAGGAAGGTGTCTTTTTTCCCTCTCACTGCTCTCAATAATTTTTATTTGTCCTTAGATTTCAGAAGTTTGCTTATGCTTCTTCTCTATGTGGATTTCTTTGGATTTATACTATGTGGACTTTGCACAGCTTCTTAAATCTATGGGTTTATATCTTTGACCAAATTTAGGAAATTCTGAGCATCATTTCTTTAAATACTTTTTTACCCCAACCCACTTTCTCCTCTCTCTTTTGGATTCCAAGTATCTAGTGTTTGATCTTTCTTTGCAGTCTCACAGGTCTATGATGCTATGTTTGGTTTTCTTTCTTTCTTCAGTCTGTTTTCTTTCTGTTGTTCAGATTGTATAATTCTGTTTCTTCCATCTACTGGTTTTCACTGATCCTCTTATCCTCTCCATTCTCCTGTAAGCCCATCCACTGAACTTTTTATTTCAGTTATATTTTTCAATTCTGTAATTTCCACTTAGATATTCTTTATATATTATATTTCTTTGCTAAGATTTCCCATTTTCTGAGCTGTTCTATTTTTCATTTGTTTCAAGAGTGTTTGTATTGCTTGTTGAAGCATTTTTATGATACCTGCTTTAAAATCTTTGTTTGATAATTCCTGCACCTTGTGTCTTCTCAGTGCTGGTGTCTGTTGACTCTCTTTTTTATTCAAGTTGAGATTTTCCCTGTTCTTGTTATGATTAATGAGTTTCTATTTTATTCTGGGTATTTTGGGGAGTGCATTTTGACTCTTTGTATCTTATTTAAATCTTGTTTTGGAAAACCATCTCTGACTCCACTCTGATGTGGTAAGGTGGGCACTACCTCATTACGGCCAGGTTTGGGTGAAACGCTACATTCCTTTATTGGCCTCTATTGACACTTTATGCAAGGGTGGGTGTTTCATTTACTAATGGGTGGGGATGAGAGTTAAGATTTTACACCAAGCTTGCACCAATAGCATGGTGTAAGAGTTAAAGAAAGAGGAAAGAAACACAACACAAAAAGTGGCTCAACAGTCAAAGACAGATTTATTTTGGCAAATAAATCTGAGAGGGGCTTCTGGCTGATTTTTGGTCAGGAGCACTCTCTTACAGATTAAGAGTATGTATTGGTGAGAGAGCTTATTACAGGCTTGGAATATTTCTGTTGCGGGGAGAAGTTTATGGTGGGGTTGGAATGTCTCTGGTTGGAGGGGAGGTTATCTTGGGGCTGACATCTCTCTGGCTGGAGGAGAGGGTATCTTGGGGTTGGCATGTCTCTGGTTGGGGAGGGATTTGGAATGTTTCTGGTCAGAGACGTTATTTGTAGTTTATGGTCATGCTGATCTTAGCCATTAGGCTGATGCCCTTTAGATTTTAGGCAGTTTTTGATCAAGGTGGACTTTAGAATGGCGATGCTTGTCCAAGATGATGATATTCCTGCTCTGTCAGTGGGATCAGGAGCCCTTGCGAATGCTAGCTGGTGGTGAAGGTGCTGGTTCTTTAACTGGCCTTCTCCTACATTACTCCAACAGGGCAGGGGAGGAATGCCTCACTGACACCAGGTAGAGGATGGAAGACTGGCTTCACACATTGTCTTCACAGACACCATGGCGGAGGGCCTCACTGACACTGGCAGGGGAAGAAAGTTCAGGCTTTCCCATCAGCCTTCTGTCACACCACTTGGCTCGGGGACATATGTGACCCACGACAGGTGAGGTTGGGAGTTCTTCACTCAGGCTTTGCTGGGGTGTGAGGGAGACAGGGGTATGTTGCATGGTTTTTACCTAATGTTTGGCTTGAGTAGAGCATTTGTCTAAAAGTTTTCTGTCTTGCTAGGCTGGTCCTTTAGCTAGAGAATGCAGGCTTCTGTTGGAACTTTTCTGTCTGGACCTAGTGACAGCTCCAGCAAGATTGTTCAGCATCCATATAGGAAGCATGTATGAGTGGTATATATGCGGCAAAAGAAAACCTAGGGAACTCCCTGGTGTGTCATTCCTTGTTGTATTTTATGATCCCTAGCTGGTCTACCTTCTTCTCTCCACCATTCAGATGTCTTTGTTTTCATATCTTTGTTTTTTATATAATGTCTTAGGTTTTTAGCTGTGCTTAATGAAACAAACAGGGAGAAGTGTGTCTATGCCATCTTGTCCAGAATTGGAAGTTTCCTGTTTTGTTTTCTTTAATAGCATACTGTTCTTATTTGATGATTTCAGTGTCTTCCTTTTTCTTCTTCAGGTTATTAATTTTAGTTATTTTGAAGTTTTCTTCTTTACATTTTCTCTTTCTTAGTTTTTTTCCCTATTTGTTTATTTTGGTCATTTTAGTGTGTTGAAGGTTTTTCCTAAATGCCTAGCAATCTTTGGGTGAATTTCATATTTATTTCAGAGTAAGAGACCAAATATCTGTTTAGATATTATATGGGCACGAGTGGAGCTAATCGGCTGGTGTGCTTTCCTGTCAAGTGATTTTAAAAGAGAAATTGCTTATTTTATAAGTCAACGTTTAGAGGTCTCTTCTCTGAGGTGGGTCAGTTTCTCCAGAGCGGTATCCTCCAGTCACTTATTGAGGAGATACAGGATTATACTGGGAAAGAATGAAGCAGGGTGCTGAGTCACTCCCTGCTCACCACACAGGTTTTCTTGTTATCCTGTTTTCATCCCAAACCTCTCCACTGCTTTCACCAGTCAGTCTGTGGTCCCCACAAGCTGGAGATTCTTGTTCAGTTATTCAGGACCGTAAGTCTCTCGAGTTTGATCTTGGCTGGAAGTTTGAGAGTAGGAGAAATGAAAAGGGGAGTATACACAGTCATGTGGCTGACTGCAATGGGACCCTAACTGAGGGTCACACTTATAAACTTTAAACCAGAACCTCTGCCTGCTTCCTTCCATGCGAACTCCGAGTCATCTGCATTTCTTTAGATAGCTTCCTGTGCTCTACAGCACCATCTACCCCTTCTACATCTACTTTACCCTTTCCAGATTTTCTTGAACTTTCTCATCTACCATTGTCTCATCATTTCTTAATGCTGCTCTTTTGGGAATACAACCAAGGACAAAAGTTCCTTTAGTCAAACTCAGATTATCCCACCCCAAAGTCTGCTTTCTGGCCCTCTCCCCTAGGACACATGAGGACCACCAGGACAGCCTGAGCTCCTTGCCTCCCTCTAATCTATCTGTCTCTCTAGTACAGTAAGTCCCAGACTACCCTTGCCTCAGAATTCCCTGGAGGGCATTTTAGACACAAATTGCCAACCATTCCCTCTGGGCTCGGAAATCCATTTCTCACCCATTCCCAGGAGTATGGTCTATCTGTTGCTGCATAGCCTGGAGGATCCAGCTGGGTGCCTCTGGGCAAGGACTTGCTCTGAGGCAAGTCGCTTAAGTTCTCTGAGTTTCTGAGGGAGGAGATACCAGCTGTTTCTGATCCACAAGGTACCTGGGGAGAAAGAACTAGCTGAAAATAGTTTTCAAATGTAGAGCAATATTTTGGAGCTCAAATAAACACATTAGATCGGTGGTTTGCAACCTTGGCCGCACATGAGAATTACCTGGAGAGCTAGAAAAAGTCTTAATTCCCAGGCTGTACCCCAAAACCATTATATAATAATTATCCAGCCATCCAATTTCTCTTCCTCCATCTCTCTCTCTTTCATTGTATACATATGCATATGTATACGTTTTTAATTTTAGAATACCTCAGATTAAGCAGAGAATCTATAATTAAATCCTAATCTTGTAGAAAATTCTTATGCAAAATACTCTCATCTCTCAAGTGCATCTAATCACTTCCAGAATAAAGACCCCTACAATTTCTACCATAAAAATAAACTCTATCCAGGAGCTTAATTTAAAATAAGAACTTCATTTTCCACGTACTTACCTACAAAATAAACACCATATTCTGTTCAGCAAGAGATACTTAAGAAGCAAAAACCCGAGATCCAATATTAAGTAAGCATACCCACTTTTCTCCAACTGATATGTCAGTAATAAATTATAGCAGAAACAGTCTCCCGTACAACTGGAGTGGAGTGTCGGGTTGAACAGTCAGTCCCTGTGATAGTCTCCAGTGAGGGCTGCTCTTGCCAACCCTTTTTTCTAGGAGCAACGTATTACAAAATCTTGCCTTATCAGATCTGGCCTCCTTAGTCCTCCAGTATAGATACGTTTTTAAGGCAGACTCTTGAAATATTTAAAAGAAATTTCACCTTAGTTTTTAGCACACAGTACACACAGTATTTGGGAATGCCATTCCGCAGACGTTGCTGCTATGAAGTAGATGTTCATGGGGTGGGCATAGGGGGTCGTTAGACTTGGACAACATGTGGGAAGAAAAGGGTTTCTTCTCCCAGTGGCAAATTCCAAACAACAGAGATGCTGGTGATGCCAACATAGGCCTAACTCTTCTGCTAGTGGAGACATATTTTATTTTGAAATCCTTACGGTGCCTGGTGCGTAACGGCAACCAGTGATGGTGGTGGCAACAGGGGTGAAGTGGAGCCTTGCCTACATTTCAGTGAGCATCAGAGTCAAGCTAGAAGGGGTACTGGGCTCTGGAAGTGTGCTGCTGCTGCAGTTCTGTTCGTAAGGGATGTTGTTTAAGCAGGAGCTTTTACCCCAGTTGCTGGCCTTTAAAAAGTATTTCTAGCCGGGTGCAGTGGCTCAAGCCTGTAATATCAGCACTTTGGGAGGCCGAGACGGGCGGATCACGAGGTCAGGAGATTGAGACCATCCTGGCTAACACGGTGAAACCCCGTCTCTACTAAAAAATACAAAAAAAAAAAATTAGCCGGGCGTGGTGGCGGGCGCCTGCAGTCCCAGCTACTCGGGAGGCTGAGGCAGGAGAATGGCGTGAACCTGGGAGGCGGAGCTTGCAGTGAGCTGAGATCCGGCCACTGCACTCCAGCCTGGGCGACAGAGCGAGACTCCACCTCAAAAAAAAAAAAAAAAGTATTTCTAATGAGCATGCCAAGTTCAGTAATGACTTTCAAGGCCTAATTCTTTGATCAAACTAGAAGACTGGATTTTTTAAAAAAATACTCTTCAGAGTAGACATTTTAACAGAAACAAGATTTGTTTTGTTCCTAATCTTCACGTTTTACAAAATGACTGTGAACAAAGTATATCACTGGACTCTGTACTTTGAAAATTAACCAAAACATAGTGTTGTACCCAAAAGGAACTGGGCAGAGGAAGGACAGCATGCTCCCAGTTGATATGTCCTTTGACCTCTGACCCCCGACCTGTTCTCTCTGCTCTCCAGAACCACATGCCCTGGGAAGAACCAGCAAGTGAGAAGCCCAGTTGCTCTCACATTCGGAAGGCTTTCCACATGGAGCCTGCCCGGAAGCCCTGCTTCACCACTGAGATGGTGACATGGGCCCTCCTCTGCGTCTCTGCAGAGGCTGTGCACGGGGAGGCTCATTCACAGCCTAGGGGCATCCCTCACCGCTCACCCATCAGTGTGGATGACCTGTGGCTGGAGAAGACACAGAGAAAGAAGTTGCAGAAGCAGGCCCACGTCGAAAGGAGTCTGCATGTAGGGGCAGTGCACAAAGATGGAGTCAAGGTAAGCCGTTCCCGGCCAGGAGTCCTCAGACTCGGTCTGGTATCCTCTTCTCTCTGCAGCTGCCTGTCGCTTCCTGAGTTTTTGCCTGACTCTCCTGTGATGTAACTTGTCACCCTGGGCCCCCTTGGATTACAGCATGCTGCCTGGGCCACCCCAGTACTGCAGTCTAGAGCCTGCAAGAGAGACACTGAGCAGCGCGTTCCCCAGAGCCACAGAAGCCAGGGCCCCCTTTTCCTTCTCTGTAGTATGTCTCTGCCTGTGGCCGGCTCCATGCAAGGTATTAGTGCAGAGAAGACTGCCATTTAATGAGTGCCTACTGTGCGCCTAACACGATTAGACACTGCCCTAGCATTGGCTCTGCCACTCACAGAGGCACAGAACATTTCAATATTACAATCTTAACCAAATTAACTAAAGTCATTACATTGTCCATTCAATTTTATCTCCAGGACACTCTGACAACATGATTTTTTGCATGAAACCGACAGCCTACTAAAAAGTGAATTAATGGTGTAGACATCATACACTTTACCCAATCTTTGACAAGAGTTTGTTTTTTTCCCTTTATAAATAGCAATATTTATTATCAGGTGTTTGTGAAGTCCATATCTCTGAGTCTCAACTCATCCTTGAAGACCCACTTTTTAAAACAGGTGAAATTCACATCATGTAGAATTAACCATGTTAAAGTGAAGAATTCATTGGCATTTAGAATATTCATTCGCTATATGTTGCGAGCACCACCTCTGTCCAGCTCCAAGGCATTTTCATCACCCCTAAAGGAAACCCTGTTCACATTAAGTAGTCACTCCCCATTTCCCATCCCCAGACCCTGGAAATACTCATCTGCTTCCTGTCTCTATGGGTCTTCCTTTTCTTGATTTTTCATATAAATGGAATTAAATAATATGTGACCTTTTGTGACTGGCATTTTTCACTTAGCGTCGTGTTTCATCCATGTCATAGCACGTATCAGTACTTCATTTCTTTGTGTGGCTAAGTAACAGTTCATTACGTAATTATACAGTACTTGTCTCACTTTGTTCATCCATACATCCATTCCTGAGTAGCTGGGATTACAGGCGCCTGCCACCATGTCCACCTAATTTTTGTATTTTTAGTAAAGACGGAGTTTCACTATGTTGGCCAGGCTAGTTTCAAACTCCTGACCTCAAGTGATCCACCGGCCTCGGCCTCCCAAAGTGCTGGGGTTACAGGCATGAGCCACCGCGCCCAACCTGTAAGTACTTAATTTTGATGAAATCTACTTTATCTGTTTTGTTGTTGCTTGTGCATTTGATGTCATACCTAAGACACTATTGCCAAATCTAAGTAATGAAATTTACCTCTGTTTTTCTCTAAGAGTTTTATACCTTTCGCTTTTACATTTAGGTCTTTGATCCATTTTGATTCAATTTTTGTATGGTATGAGATGTCCAATTTTATATTTCCCATGTGGATATGTAGTTATCCAAACATCATGTGTTGAAGAGATTATTCTTTCCCTCACTGAATGGTCTTGGCATCCTTGTCAAAATTCAACTTACCCGCCAGGCATGATGGCTCACATCTGTAATCCCAGCACTTGGGGAAGCCGAGGCGGTGGATCACTTAAGGCCAGGAGTTCGACACCAGCCTGGCCAACATGGTGAAACCTTGTCTCTACTAAAAATACAAAAATTAGCCAGGTGTGGTGGCACGTGCCTGTACTCACAGCTACTCAGGAGGTTAAGGCAGGAGAATTGCTTGAACCTGGAAGGCAGAGGTTGCAGTGAGCCAAGATTGCACCACTGCACTCCAGCCTGGGCGACAGAGTGAGACCCTGTCTCAAAAAAAAAAAAAAAAAAAAAAAAAGTCAAATTACCTTAGATGTGTGGGTATATTTTTGACTCTCAATTCTATCCTATTAGCTTATATGTCTGTCTTTATGTCAGTACCACATTGTTTTGATTATCATAGTTTTACAGTAAGTTTTGAAATTGGAATGTGAGAGTCTTCTTTGTTCTTTTTCAAAATTGTTTTTTTTTTTTTTTTTGAGGCGGAGTCTCGCTCTGTCGCCCAGGCTGGAGTGCAGTGGCGCGATCTCGGCTCACTGCAAGCTCCGCCTCCCGGGTTCCCGCCATTCTCCTGCCTCAGCCTCCCGAGTAGCTGGGACTACAGGCGCCGCCACCACGCCCGGCTAATTTTTTTTTTGTATTTTTAGTGGAGACGGGGTTTCATTGTGTTAGCCAGGATGGTCTCGATCTCCTGACCTCGTGATCCGCCCGTCTCGGCCTCCCAAAGTGCTGGGATTACAGGCTTGAGCCACCGCGCCCGGCCTTCAAAATTGTTTTGGCTATTTGCTGGACCTTGCAATTTCATATGAATCTTATAATTAATTTTCCATTTCTGCAAAAATAAAAATAAAAATAAAGGCCCTTGGGATTTCCATAGGATTGCATTCAATCTGTAGATCACTTGGGAGAGTAGTGCCATATTAATAATATTAAGTCTTCAAATCCATGAATATTGGGTGTCTTTCCTTTTTTGGGGGGTGTTCTTGAATTGCTTTCAGCAGAGTTTTGTGGTTTTCACTGTAAAAAGTCTTGCACATCCTTAGTTAAAATTTTTCCCAAGTATTTTATTCTTTTTGATGACATCATAAATGGAAATTTTTTTAAGCTTCATTTTGGGATTATCCATTGCTAGAGCATAAAAATACAATTGATTTTTGTTTATTGATCCTGTATCCTGAAAAAAAAGAATATTTTTGTGTATTCTTTAGAAATTTCTATGTATAAGATTACATCATTTGTAAAAAACATTATTTTACTTCCTTTCCAGTTTAGATGCCTTTGATTTCTCTTTTTTGCCCTACTTGCTCTGGGTAGAACTTGCATAACAATGTTGAGCCGAAGTGGTGAACTGGGGCATCCTTGTCTTTTTGGTTTTAGGATTAAAGCTTTCAGTCTTTCACTATCGAGTATGATGTTAGCTGTGTGTTTTTCACAAATGCTGTTTTATCATGTTAAAGAAGTTCCTTTCTATTTCTAGTGTTTTTATCATGAAAGGGTGCTAGATTTTTTACGAGCGTGATCAATTTTGATGACGGTTTTTCTGCATCGACTTGAGATAATCATGCATGTTTTCTTTGCTCTATTAATGTGGCATATTACATTGAATATGTATTGATCTGCAGTTTTCTTTTCTTGTGATGTTTTTGTCTGGCTTTGGTATCAGAGTGATTCCGTTCTTATAGAATGAGTTAGGAAGTGCTCTCTCCTCTTCTATTTTTTGGAAGCGTTTGAGAAAGATTCTTCTTTAAATGTCTTGTAGAGTTCAGCAGTGAAGCTTTCTGGTCCTGGACTTTTCTTTGTTGCGGGGTTTCTAATTATTGATTCAATTCTTCTTTCTTTTCTTTTAGCATCAGGTTGGTGAAAAAACAATTCTTTACTTGTCATAGATCTGTTCAGAATTTATATTTCTTTTTGTTTTGTTTTGAGACAGAGTCTTACTCTGTCACCCAGGCTAGAGTGCACCTGCGTGATCTTGACTCACTGCAACCTCCACCTCTTGGGTTCAAGCGATTCTACTGCTTCAGCCTCCTGAGTACCTGGGACTACAGGCATGCACCGCCATGCATGGCTAATTTTTATATTTTTTGGTAGAGACAGGGTTTCACCATGTTGGCCAGGCTGGTCTCGAACTCTGTACTTCAAGTGATCCACCCACCTCTGCCTCCCAAAGTGCTGGGATAACAGGCATGAGCCACTGCACCTGGCCAAAGTTTATATTTCTTCTTGAGTCATTTTGGTGTTAATAGCTTGTGTTTTTCTTAAGAATGTCTCCATTTTATCTACATATCTAACCTGTTGATATACAATAATTGTCCACAGTGTTTTCTTATAATCCTTTTAAATTTCTGTAACATCAGTAGTAATGCCTCCACTCTCATTTCTAATTTTAGTAATTTCTATTTTCTCTTTTTTTCTCAGTATAGCTAAATGTTTATCAATTTTATTAGTCTTTTCATAGAATCTGTTTTTGATTGTCTTGATTTTCTCTATTATTTTTCTTATTTTTATTCCATTTTAAATTTTTTATCTATTCGTTTATTTATTTATTTAGAGACTGAGTTATGAGACTGGTGTTTGGTATTTTTGGTAGAGACAGAGTTTCACCAAGTTGCCCAAGCTGGTCTCCAACTCCTGGGCTCAAGCAATCCACCCACTTCAGCTTCCGTAAGTGCTGGGATTACAGGTCTGAGCCACCGCACCTGGCCTCTATTGTTTTTCTATTACTATATTTAATCTGTCTCTAATTTCATCTTTTTTTTTTTTTTTTTTGAGACGGAGTCTCGCTCTGTCACCCCGACTGGAGTGCAGTGGCGCGATCTCTGCTCACTGCAAGCTCTGCCTCCAGGGTTCACGCCATTCTCCTGCCTCAGCCTCCTGAGTAGCTGGGACTACAGGCGCCCGCCACCTTGCCCGGCTAGTTTTTCGTACTTTTTTAGTAGAGACAGGGTTTCACCATGTTAGCCAGGATGGTCTCGATCTCCTGACCTCGTGATCCACCCGTCTCGGCCTCCCAAAGTGCTGGGATTACAGGCTTGAGCCACCGCGCCCGGCCTAATTTCATCTTTATTATTTTCTTCCATGTGTTAGCTTTGGGGTTAGTTTGTGCTGCTTTTTCTCGTTATTTAAGGTGTAAAATTAGGCTATTGATTTGAGAAATTCTTTTTTTTTTGTCCTTTTAAATTTTAATAAAATAGATTAATTTCATATTACATAGAGAGCAAGTCCATCCACTCATCTGTGATAAAATTTTAGAAATATTTTCTTTTTTTTTAATTATTATACTTTAAGTTCTAGGGTACATGTGCATAACGTGCAGGTTTGTTACATATGTATACTTGTGCCATGCTGGTGTGCTGCACCCATCAACTCGTCAGCACCCATCAACTCATCATTTACATCAGGTATAACTCCCAATGCAATCCCTCCCCCCTCCCCCCTCCCCAT